CTTGGTCAGGAAGAGGAGGGCACTTGGGACGACACAGGGTGGGGACCTGGGCTCCCCACCTCCCGGGGGCTCGCCAGGACCCCCGATCCCACCCCKTCTCCCACGGGGACTTACCGAGATGGGCCCAGAGAACATGTCAGAACCGGGACCAGTCGAGGTCAAGCTCTTATAGGCAGGGAGGGGAGGGAGGGCCCCCGGGGAGCAAAGCCCCGACTCAGCAAGTGAGCCCTCGACACAAAGGCCAGCGCTGGCCACAGCCCCAGTGAGAGGTGTCAGCAGCTCTGGGTTCAGCTGGGAGGGGACAGATCAGGTCACCTCCCCAGAGACGGGTATGGGGAAGGGGAGCGGTGCCAGGTCTGCCTGAATCAGCCCCACGGGGCCCCCGAGCGGGGCAGGAGTCAAGCAACTGGCCGAGGAGCCCCAAAGTGTGGCCAGCTGTGTGACCTTGAGTAGGTCATTTCCCCTCCTGTTGTACCTATAAAATGGGATGGAAATCAACTCCGTCTGGGGGCCAGGAGGCTGCGCACCTTCTTGCCTGGTGCCCCGTAAGCCTTGATGGACGTCTGCTCCTTTCCCCTTCCCGTCCGTGTTGGACTTCCAGTGGAGCAATCAGGGCAGGCTGCCTGTTGGAGGTGGCATTCTGGGAAGCGTGGAGAGGATTCCCACAGGGTCAGATGGAAAGAGGGGCATGAAGAGCTGGCGTACAAAGGTGGGAGCGTAGAGCTGGTGGCCCAGTACAGAGGTYCCAGAGGGAGTGAGCAAGGCCGAGGTCTGGCCAGAGCCCCAGACGACTCTACAGGCAGGAGCCAGGAGCTGATGGTTATGAACATGCTCCACAGACGTAGCACCTGCCACACCCCGGGGGGCAGAACTCCCCGTGGACATCCCCCCACACCCTCCTTCTACCTCCCAGAGAGGGAGGAAAGAGCGTGGCTGGGAGCCACGTCACTCAGGGTGAAACCCAGCCCTGGTCTTACCATCCAGGCCCCCTACAGGATACCTGAGCCCTGCTGGTGCCCGMAGAATGGCCACATCCACCACTCCCTGGAGGGGTTAAAGCAACCCYATCCTACGCATTACTTGGAGGAAAGAAAAATAAAAGTTAAGACTCCAAGGGCTCCGGAGGCTGAGGCAGGAGGATCGTAAGTTCAAGGCCAGCCTCAGCCACTTAGTGAGGGCCTGTCTCTAAATAAAATATAATATAAAAAAGGTCTGGGGATGTGGCTCGGTGGTTAAGTGCCCCTGGTTCAAGCCCCAGTACCAAAAAATAAAAAAATAAAAAGACTGCAACCTCATGTTCTTTGTGCGTAAAATGAGTGCAACGGGTTGAAGGGGTGTGGCCTGAGAGGGGTGTGGTGAGGGTACAGTTCTGGTGTGAACCACTGGTGCACAGCAAGTGTCACTGTTCCAGRGACATAAAAAGCATTAGGCACTCCCACCATCTTTGTCATCGTCATTACTAACAGTAAAGGTGCTTATTAAATAATTACTCGTGAAGAGCAGGAGCACTTAGCTTCTGAGAGCTCAGGGGCCGGCCATCCGAGAGGCCAGCTCGGATCCCGCAGGGGGCGGGGAAGCAGGTGCGTGGTGGACAGGGGTCCATTTCCCATCTGTCCGTCCGTGGGGTCCATCCCAGAGACTCCGCCCTCCTGGTGAGGATGACAGGCACCCAGGCTGTGGAAGGCCCAGAGCGGAGGTGCCCAGCAAGGCCACTGTCCCTTGTCCCCACCCTCGCCCCCTGGCAGGGCGCCTGGCCAAGGGGGCACGGAACTCCTCGAGACGGCCTGGCTGGCAGCGCGGACCTGTGGGTGGCCCCCACGGCGTCTCTGGGCTGCGGTCCAGCAGCTGCCCCCTCTGTGGTTCCGCCTCGGTCACCCCTGCCTTGGCCACCCCTGCCTTGGCCACCCCGGCCTTGGCCCGCGATGAAAGGCTATGGAGTGGGGGAGGGGGCAGGGGCTGTGGCGGCAGAGCTGGCCCCAGGCCAGGGCCACCCTGGATCCCCAGAGAAGGGGCAGCACCGTGTGGAGACCCCATAGGCCACCCACCCCACCCTGGCTGGACAGCTGTCYGGCCCCTCTGACCCCCGTGGAGAGAGTGCACAGGGCAGGACCTCCGCCCAGCCTCTTGCTCCAGGCCTGCCTCGGTTCCTCCACTKGAGAGATGAAGGAGTCAGGCCACTCGGCTTCCGACACCGGCCACCCTGTGGGGAGTCTCTGCTGCCCGACTTGAATCGGGGCCCTTGGTCTCTCAGTCCCCTCGTGCCCCTGGCTAGTGTTCTTACTCCCCCCTCTCCTGATCTGGGTCCCCCCACTTGGCACCCCACTTTCATCATGGTCCATTCCGACAACCGTTCAGTCACCAAATCCTGACACAGGGCCCTCTGCAGGCCAGGCCCCACGGCAGGTGCCAGAGGTGACCAGCATGTGGCTCAACCTGGGGCTTCTCAGATGGAGGCGTTGGCCACCAGCTCTGTCCCTGGCACCTGAGGGTCGTGACTGGGGGGGGGGGTCACAGAGGCAGTCCAGGAAAGGAGGGATCTCCATGTGGGCAGAAGAGCAGGACCCAGTCCCCAACGTCCAGCCTACCTGAGCCCAACAAGGCCTGGCTTCCCACCTAGGATCAGGAAGTCAGGCTGCCGCTGAGGCCAAGGTCAAGGTCAAGGTCAAGGTCAGACAGCCAGAGCCCCAGGCGGGGAGGCTGCCTGCACTGGCCTGGCCTCCCGCCTGGCTTTCCTCGTCTTTGAAATGGTGGGATGGAAGGGCCCGGTGAGGCAGGTTGTCCTGGAGACTGGCACAGGGGACAGCGGCCAAGCACTGGGCACCGTGCTTAGCACAGGGAAGGCTCCGGGCAGTGCACGGGCCTGTGCTCAGCGTCACAGGCCTTCTGCTGGGGGCAGCTCCATTAGGGACACTGGTGCTCACCCGTGACTGCAGACACRGAGCCCCCTGAGGACCGACTGTCCCCAAACCACGCAGAGCATCATGGCTGAGCCAGGACACTCACCCAGGTCTCCAGCTGACCAGAGTCTCTCCTTTTCCCTGCCCCCGGGGATGGCCGTGGGGACCTGGGGGCCCATCCCTGGTGGGGGCCGTGGACAACAAGGAGGTGGAGAGCTGTGGACCAGGGTTTCTGCTGTGCGCTCGGGGCCACAATGGAAAGTGCTGGTCTCTGCAGTGACCCTGGCAGGGCTGGCCCCGGCCAGGCCCCGCTCCGGCTGCTGAGCCAGCTCCCGCTTTGTGCCCCAGACTATAGGGYCCAGTGTCTGCCAGATTATAAAATGGGGGGTCGGCCCTGGTCACCCACAGCACACGCCTGTCCTCCACCAGGAAGTGGCAAGTCCCCAGGTAAGGAAGCCACGGAGAACTGAGGGGAGGGGACGAGGGGAGGCCCGAGAGCCGCAGGTGGCCCCGAGGGCCAGGCGGGACCTCCAAGATGAGAGAGGGGACTGTCAGAGGCGGGAAGTGAGCAGAGAGTGACAAGAAAGACAGGGGGCTGGGCAGACAGATCAACAGGGAAGGGTGCGCAGGGAGAGACAGACAGACAGACAGACAGAAGAACAGGAGAGAGGGGGAGAAGCAAAGATGGACACCAACAGCAAGGAACAGGAAGAGGGAAGGAGGGGGAGAGGGAGGCAGAATGGAAACGCGGACAGGAAAGGAGGAATGTAGCCCCTGGGGAGCGTGCCACAGAATGGGGGCAGGGAGGGCTGCGAGTCCCAGATGTGGCCCAGATGTCTGTCCCGCAGCGTGGCCACAGTCTTCCTGGAGGCGGGAGGCTGGGGAGGGACCTACCCACCCGCCACAGACAGCCCAGCCAGCAGCTGGACCCCAGGGTCTTCTGTGCCCTCGGGGGTCCTTCAATCATCTGCAGAATTGAAGGGAGCACCCCACCCCGTCTCCTCAGGGACCGTCAGGGCCTCTGTCAGACTCAAAAGAGTCCATGTCCCCCATGCCACGAGGAACCGCTGGAATCCACCAAAGCCCTGCCCACCCAGCGCCTCCGCAGCCACGTCCTCGTTTTAGAACCCTGGACGGGYACCAGCCATCCTCTTGGGCCTCTGCGGGCCCAGGGCCAGGCCTGCATCTGCACCCACACACCTGCCCCAGAGGACGCCTGGGGAGGGGGGAGCCCCCGTCCTGGAGCAGACGTTCACTAGGAATGTCCCCTGTGCTGGGCACAGAGCCGAGCGGGGGAGGGGGGACTAGAGCAGAGYGAGCGAATGGCAGGGCGTGAGCAGCCCAGGGCCAGGCCAGCGGCTCCAGTTGAAAGTGGAGCCCTCCTGCCTSGAGACCCCGGGCAGGGCACCTTCCTCTGTGGCCTCAGAGGGCTGGAGAGAAGGATCCTGGATTCTCCAGGGGGATGGGGCGTGTGCCTGGGATTCCTTAAGAATCCCTAGATGCCATTTCTCTTTGCTCTCCCTCTGGTGAGGTGAACTGAGATTGCACACGCAAATAAGTGTGCTAAGTGGCGTGAGGAGGATCTGCGGGGGGCCAACGAGGCTGGAAGGGAGGCCGATGGAGGGAAGGGCATGGCCAGTGGAGGGGACAGCCTGGTCGAAGGCCTGGAGGAAGGACGCAGGACAGGGAGGGAGCCCAGGTGGGAAAGGCTTGGCTGGGCAACAGGAATGGGCCACCAGGTGCAGTGGGCCCAGCGGCTCAGGAGGCTGAGGCAGGAGRATGGCAAGTTCAAAGCCAGCCTCAGCAAGGGTGAGGTGCTAAGCAACTCATTGAGACCCTGTCTCTAAATAAAATACAAAACAGGGCTGGGGACGGGGCTCAGTGGTCGAGCGGCCCTGAGTTCAATCCCTGGTACCAAAAAAAGACGGGGGGGGGGGGGACAAAAAGTTCTTCGAGTCCCACGTTTCCAAGGAGAAAGAGAGGCAACGGGTTCAAAGGTGGCTGAAGACACAGYGAGGGGCAGGAGCGTGGGAGACAGCTTGGGGTGCCACCCCTGGATTCACGGAGGCCAAAGCATGCTCTCTGGGTTTTGCAGGAGGAGCCATGTCTCAGCCCATCAAGGCCTCGGCCACCGCCGCAGTGAACCCAGGGCCCGACGGCAAGGGGAAGGGGACCCCGCCCACAGGACCAGCCCCCGGCCCCGGGCCAGCCCTGGCCCCAGCAACCGTGCCCGTGCCCACTGCCAAAGCAGGGGACCTGCCTCCTGGGAGCTACAGGGTAAGGACCCAGCTGGCTGGCCGGCTGGGTGCCCCCACCGTCCCCTTCCTGTGCGGCCCTCCCCCCCCCATCATGTCCTTCCTTACCCCTCTCCTCTCCTTCCCCCTGTTCCTGCCTCCCTTCCTGTCCCTCCTCCGTCTCTCCTGCGGGGCCTCCTCCTGCCCAGACAGAAATGTGCCCAATCTAGAGGCCAGGAAAATGGCCAGGGGTCTCAGTGCACCCGGAAAGAAGGGACCCATCGTGGCGCGGTGACATGACAACTGAAATGTGCCACGTCCCCCGACGGGGACCATGGCCGTGCGGTCAGCCTGCACAGAGCCCGCTCAGAGCGAGTCAAAAGCCACGAGCAGAAAAGGGAGAGGGACCTGTTCCTGGAGCGTCACCCGGGCAGCAGGGGGCCTCCTGGAGATGGGTCCCGGGGAGCAAGGTCTCCAGGCCCAGGTTTGGTTTGGACCTGGGGGCCAGAGCTGACCACCCTTGATTCATGATATGGCTGGCCGTTATTTATGGAGGTTTATTTAATCATTAATTTTACTTTAATTTTTTTTTTTTTTTTGTACCAGGGATTGAACCCAGGGGCTCTTAACCACTGAGTCACATCCCAGCCCTTTTCATGTTTCATTAGAGACAGGATCTGTCTGAGTTTCTCAG